GGGAGTGACATCAATGGATGGAATGTCTTCGTCCAATTATTTATTTTAAAAAAAACAACATGTTGGTGTTTGTTTTTTTTTAAATAAAATTGAATGAATCTTTGTATACCACCAAATCACAAATTCCATCTTGGTTTTAAAGTGGAAAATGAAAGCCAATTACAATCTGTTTCAGTGTGATGCAGCCATGATCTACCGAATTTAAGTAGATTTCATTCCAAAATAGTAAAATATATACAATATTTAATATTATTTTAATGTCAATTTGATATTTATTGAAAATAATAAAAAAGCTAAATTAATTTAAAGTAATTTTATGTAAAATCGAATACTTGTTCACAGTTGTAGTTTGTATGCATGCTTTCATTAGCCAGTTTTCTTTTATTAAGTTAATTCTTAATTCTTAATTCTTTTAGCTGGTCTTCCGTCCCTCAGGTCTGTGGTCCCAGACTCAGGTTCTGGATGGATCTGGAGTCCAGATTCCAGATAGTTGGTTTGTGTCTCTACCTGGAATCTCTGGACCACTTCAGCTTAATCTGCTGTGTCACTGTCAAGTTGGTGGTGTGTCCCTTAACATGACTCAGCACTTCATATTGGCTGGATCAGGCTGCGAAAAGTCTGTCTAACCCTAACCCTAATGAACAGATTAATCAGCAGAAATTCGGACCAGCCCTCAGGAAGCCTTGTTTGACTGAAAGTAGTAATAAAATGTATTATTGTATATTGTATATATTTATTATATTATTCATTATTGTAATAAAAACTTCCTGTTTTCGCCCATTGTTGGGATGGAGTCGATCTGCTTTAATAGTGAATCTGCAGGTGGATGAGAAAGCATCGCTTTACTACAGGGAGGCCCTTTTTTTAGAGGATCAGAGCTGGAAGGAGTCCCAAATAACGGCCAGCTTTTTGTAAAGAGAGAACATTTATTTCTATTCAACATACAGAATTCATACAGAATGTGTTTTATGACACAGCCTCTCCTCCGTGGCTCTGATCAGGTCTGAGAGGGCCGCCGTCTCCCTCCTCACGGCCTCCGCCCACTCCTCTTCCTCCCTCAGAGCTCATAAGACAGTTTGCAGAAACAAACCATTCAATTATAGCCGTTTGGATTAAATGTTTAGGAATAGTTGGTCAAAGTACAATAAAGAGCAGCTTTATGCTGCCTTTTCGTACCAAAGCGTGTATTTTAAACTGCTCATGTGTTTTATTTGGCCACCACCTCTGCAGACAATCCCTGCAGAAGCTGTGGCTGCACGGCAGGAAGACGGGGTCCCTGAACACCTCACGGCACACCGGGCAGGACAGCTCCTCCTCCAGTGCCAAGGAAGCCATTTTGTCTCCACACAGAGTTAAAAAAGGAAGTCAGACGCTCACTCTCCTACAACCTCACTCTCCTACAACCTCACTCTTCTAAACCCTCACTCTTCTAAACCCTCACTCTCCTACAACCTCACTCTTCTACAACCTCACTCTCCTACAACCTCACTCTTCTACAACCTCACTCTCCTACAACCTCACTCTCCTACAACCTCACTCTCCTACAACCTCACTCTCCTACAACCTCACTCTCCTACAACCTCACTCTCCTACAACCTCACTCTCCTACAACCTCACTCT